GATCTGTTCTCCAGTGAGATATGGAGGAGGACTATTCCTGACAGTTTTTGTGTACCTAAACAATGTCTTATTTCTTCGGTACGGATGGGTAAGGGAAAGAAATCGGGATGGGTAAGGGGAAGAAATCGACGATGACAATCAAACCAACAACTCTTCCTACCATTCTTCAATTGAAAAGCATCCGTTGATCCAAGACAATGGGGACAAGATAACCTTTCATGTGTAGTCCATCCAGACAGCATCCCATAGGCAGGAAAGTCACTAATCGTCCACAGCAGAACTACTCGCATCATAAAATTGTTTCTCAAAGAACAATCAGACGTCCTCACCTCTGAGGACCACAAGTCTTTCAGCTCTTGTATCAATGGCTGAAGAAAAACATTTACCGACCGTTTTGGATGCTTTGGACCAGGGATTAATATTGTCAAGAATAGAAATTCTTGTTCCATGCACATCTCCGGAGGTAGGTTGTATGGCGTAAGAATGACTGGCCACAAAGAATATTGTCTCCCAGACATTCCAAAAGGAGAAAATCCGTCTGTGCATAATCCAAGATAAACATTCCGAAGGTCACTGGCGAAATCAGGGTGTGTCTTGTTGAAATGTTTCCAAGCTCTTGTATCTGATGGATGAGCAATCTCACCATCCCTCTAGACATGTCCAGCATGCCACCTCATCGCTCCGGCAGTTCTCTCCAATTGATATAATATTTTCAACATGTCTGTAATTGGTAAGTACCACATCCTTTGGTACGGTACCCTATTCCTCCCCCGACCTTGCAGTTTGAATCGTGGCTTCTTGCAGAATCGACACTCTTCTAGATTCTCATCGTCTCTCCAATAGATCACCCAGTTGTCGATGTAAACATCTATCATCTCCGAAGGCAACCCGAGACTATAAACCAATTTCTGAATCTCATAATAAGATCCAACTGACACGTTGTCTTCTGGCAAGTACTCTTTGAACAACTCGGCCCATGCATCCATGCAATTCTCAGATAGATTATGATCCGTTTTAATATTCATCATCCTAGCTACTAGTGACAATTTAGTGAGATCTCTCTAGAATCAGTGTAGATTGGTTGATTTGCAGCTTCTAGCATTTCATAAAACCTTTTTGCATCCAAATTAGGTTCTTCCACATTTCTAATTTCATCAGCTATTGTTGTAGTAGTTTCTAAAAATGCATCAATCATCATGTCATAAACCCTATCATGATCTACCATCTGTTCCTCATGATGGTAATTATTTTCGTTATGCAGATGATTCGATTCATGATTGCAAGCATTATGATAATTACTATTACTACTATTAGCTCCATTTCCACCATAACCTTCTCCATGTTAAAACCAAATATAGTAACGTTGTGTAAACCCTCTATGTATTAAATGTTTCCATACAGTTTCACTACGTGCAAATTTTCTATTTTTGCACTTCAGACAAGGACATAACATTTTATTGTTTTCCTGCGTGAGCGGTGTACAACCTGCATGGTGCATGAATGTCTCTAGCCCGGTAAAAAAAATGCATTCGTCACTCTACTGGCGGAATCTTTATGCGTATAAATCCAACTCTGTAATTCGTAAATATTTCCACCTCCAGATACTTTTTTTTATTTGTTCTTTTTTTCCGTTTGTGTAGATTTGGAATGAGAATGGTGATATATATAGAAGTTTTCCGGGTTTGGTAGGTTAAAACATTTACAAGTGATTTACAAGGAAACCAATTTACTAGGATATTACAACTTTTTAACCTGGTTGTTACAACGAATTTACAAAAATACTTGTGGTAGTTGAACTACACTTAAAAAACGTTTTCACCTACCAAAAAGTAAGATGTCGTTGTAAAACACATGTTAATCTACATGTCTTTTACGACGAATATGAATTTTCATCGTATATTCGTTGTAATTTACGAAGAAATTACTACGAATCATAAAAAAAAAATATTTAAAACCCAATTGAATAAATAACTTGGGCATTTTCTATGTAATATCGACGTAAATTTACGACGAAAGTAATGTAAAATAAAAAAAAAACTAAAAGGAGTTTATAGTCATCGGAACAGTTTTTATCAATCCCCTATAGGTTTCCTCGAACTATCTACTCGAGGAAAAGCCTCGAGCTATTTCCTTGAGGAAAAGCTACGAGAAGTTGATAAGAATTTTTCTGGTGACTGTGCACTCCCTTCAATTATAAATTGTATGTTTTGTATTTTTTTCTTGACAATCAACGTAACAATTCCTAACAATCCCGCATAGTTTTCCTCGAACTATTTTCTTCGAGAAAAAGCTATGAGGAATTGATCAGGAACTATTCTGATGACTATGTACTTTTTTTCTATTTGTTAGTGTGTTTAGAAGAGTGATCAAATGACCTATATTTAAGAAATTTTTGAGTTTGGTAGGTAAAGGTGTAACAACGAATTTACAAAGTTTTTACAACGAAATATTTTATTTTTCATTTACAACTTAACCACATGCGTTTTACAAGAGTTTTACAGCGAATATAGTTAGCTGAAGCTCACTCCATAAATGTTTTCTCGAAAAGTAACTTTAACAGGATTCGTTGGAAACATCACGTAACATTACAAGTAAGTTACGACGAAATTTCTCTTTCCTTGTTCTCTTATCGTAAATTTACATCTGTCTTACGACGAAATATATTTCACGTAATTTTACGTGGTCTTTACGACAAATTCAAGATTCGTCGTAAACTCTGCATAATGTACACGTAAGTTTACGACAAATATTTTTCGTCGTAAAGTGTCGTCGTTACAGAAACGTTTTCTTGTAGCGAGAAGTAGTTGAAAAAACGAAGGAACGTATGAAACAACAGGAAAACCGAGCTGCTAAGATAGCAATAAAAGCAGCACAATCACACCTTCTTCACCCAAGCTAATTTGATGCATATAACATAATATCAAAATACTTTTGTTGTAAATTCTTTATTTCTTTTATTAGTTTAGATCTTCTGTAGGTAATTTTAAAAGGACGTATTTGCAGTTTAAAATGTTTAAAATGTTTTATGCAACTAACGTAGTGGTTGAAAAGACTCTGTGCGTATTTCATATTAAAATAACACCATGCTAAATATACATATATCTCCATGTTATATTCTAGACTAAATATTTTTCCATTTCAAAATGCTGTAGGGAAAATATACATTATGCAAAAATATGTATTCAAAATCTATATGCAAAAACATAATGTTATAGGCTTCTTTCAGACAAATGCGCACTCCAACAAGAACAAGAATTAAAAAAGAACCAACATTTTCATCAAACTTTATCACAGATTCATATATATATACAATTTTTTCACAGATTTATATTTGTAAATCTATTATTATGAGTTCACAAAATGGTTAATTTGATTCAATACCAAAGCAAGAATAATCCAAACCGAAAACGTTGACACCACCAACTCTACCTTCGTTCCACAAAACTAATAAATGAAAAATTATTATTTTTTAAATACATATATATATATATAGTAAAATAAATAGTTAAACTATTGTAAAAAAATCTATGAATGTCAATGCTTATTTTATTTAAAACTAGGACAGACCCGCCCTACGGGCGGGGTATATTTTACTTATGATTTCGATTTTTATTTATTATTTGATTTGGTGATTGATGTTTTAGGTTTTGCATTTGTAAAAAAATGTATATAATAGTGTTTATTGTTTGTTTTGGTGGTTTGTGTTTTAGTGCTTTAGGCCAATAGGACATTTTAACTTATGAAGGATATTATGTCTATTTTAGTGAATGTTTGATGTTTGCTTATTTTTGTCACTTGTTTTTGTTTTTTTATTTGTTGTCAAATACACATTTTTCCATAATACTATTTTAGTTATTATCATTTTTGTTATATTTTTTTATAATGAGAACACATTTTACATCATCATCGCATATGTCTAACTTTTTTTTTTTATTCTTGTTAGAGATCATAGGGTTGTATTAGCATGATACAATCTTAATTATGGAAATAGTATACATTTATTCATTGTTTGTTCATTTTTTTTTATATTTAGTCAAGTATTATTCTGAGTTTTTGTTGTTGTGTTAGGTTCAGTTCTCAAAACATTGATTATTTTATAACTTGGTTATATTGAAGTTACTTGTGTTTTTAATAAAATTTTATTATTCAGTTTCAGGTATTATTAGTGATTAATTGTATGAACAATATACTATAGAAGTTTCACTCGAAGAATAGAAACTGACTCATTTTGTTTTGGTTGATATACTGAGATCACCAAAAATGTTTTGTTTTGGCTCATTTTGTTTTGTTTTGATCGTGTAGCTAACCGTGTGAGGAAAAATGATTAGGTTTGTTCACCAACCTCTGTACCGGTCATGATCTCAGCTTCAAGAATCATGTTACCAAGTCGAGTGACCATCATTCTCGTACCATTGCATAGACCTTGCGTCGGTTACACACCATCATCACCGGAGCTCGTATTTTCATAAGTAATCGATGGCTCATACAAAATGGTTTACATATTTCAAACAATAACTGTAATTGTTGTGGCAAAATTACGCACATGCTTTATAATCAGCCCATGATTTTAAGAGCCATGTTATAAAGTAAGTGTATTACTCATTACCAAAAAAAAAAGAATGCTTCTCACTTTGTTGTATGTATTTTTGTGTTGAGAAGTAAGATATTACCAGCCTTCCTGAAATTTCTCTCAATGCTTCTGCCTAACAGGAAGTTGAGTCTGCCATCATACTAACATTCATTCCATATCTCTAAAGTATTCAGTGATGTTGATTCCTGGAGTCACATTACCAAGGAAAAAATAGGGTCGTAATTAAAAAAGGTTTCTATGTGCTTTATGTCAATAGAAGATGTGATATGAGCTTCTTCAAAAACTATTCCATGCCTGAAAATTACCTGTGTAGATTGAAGCTTCACGAGCAGCCACAGGCATGTTAGTGGTGTTGGCAACCAATGTAGTACGTTCATGACAGATTCCTCATGACCATCAGGCAACGTCATTACAATTGTGAGAAGTCCATAAGCACCTAATTTATGAGAAACCATCAGACCAATTTTTTTATTATGTGTGACCAATAGGCATATTCAGAAGGAGAAGAGGCATACCTCAGCCATTTTATTTCCTCTTTCTCCACAACCAATGTAAACGACATCATCGGAGTTGGAATACTTTTTAAATCACAACACATTAGCTCTTAAAAAGATTGATATGTTTAGAACACGCTGACAACAGAGAATATGAAAGCTATCAGCAACTACGTCTTTGAATGACAATGACCACTGTATTAGATGTAATCACCTGCCCCATAAGTAGAGGAGTATCCACAGCAAGTTTGGATGCGGCTGGCTTAGGTGTACGTACATGCCAGCTCTGACATATTATAGTCAAACCAATTTTAAAAAGTTAATGGGTAGCTAAACGTTTTCCGAGTAGGACAATTACATATGCTTCAAACCTGAAGCATGGTGAATGTTTTCTTAACCCCCTAGAATTCAAGCTCTAGCACAATATCCTGGTAAGGGAAAAACACAGTCAATCGATTATGTCAAAATATGAAGAAAGAGAAGGAGTTATTCATATATATACATTGTTTGAGAAAAGTTAAACTTAAACCTTAAAAGAATATTTACCAGCTGGAGCAAGGTAAGTGATCTTCCCCATGGCATCAGGAGGAAGGGGAAGACGGTGAGGCATCAGGAGGAAGGGCAAGACGGTGAGACATCAGAGTGTTCTGGAAGACGATCTGCGTTCGAAATTTATGTTTTACTATCAGAAAAAAAAAATATTTCAAATCGATTACGGAGGTGGCCAATGAACTTACAGCATACAAGTCACCTCCAGTTATTGTGTCTACCTCGACTGCAACCAACTCAAAATGATTAAGACCATCTTAACACTAACATATAGAGAAGTAAATGAAGCAAAAGACATACCAAAATCATTAGGCTCAAGAGCTGGAACATACACACCACGAGGATGTACACATCACCAGATCTTTTTGTAATATTCTTCAAAGGCCTTTGTGATATATACAAAAAAAAAAGAATTGTGAGACGCCACAATCACTGCAGATAGTATTGTTATAACAAAACATAGAAGTGATAAACTTTACACCTCACCTGAATTACATCGAAGATGTTTCCCAATATTCCTAGTCCAAGCTCCACAGAAAGAGGCTGAAACGTTCAGGTCAAAATTTATGATAGCTACAGACAAACAACTCCAAAGAAAAAAAAGAAGTCACGAACCTTGTGGGTTCGAAGAACATGATCATTAACCGTCAATCCAGCTGTCTCCTCGTAAACTGGAAGTTGCAAAACATCAGTTAAAAGTATCTCACTTCTACAGATCCAACGTATATGAGAGATACAAACCTTGGATGGTGGCAGAATCTCCTTCAAGCGGATGATCTCTCCAATAAGATTCTCACTACCAACACCACTAACTCATACATAGCAGCACCAGCCATACCATCAGACACAACGACGGGACCTGAAACCTTCATCGCAGAAACTTATATAATCGTGGGTGATTGATTAACGGAAGGTTTAAAGACAATAGATCGGTTACTGGTATGGTAAGGAAGAAGATGAAAGATCGGTCGCGCAACCGAAGTCGCCGTTCAATTCTGGAGATGGGAAGACTACCTCCGCTAACCCTAAGAGATAACGCGGTGTTTCATCATGAGCAAGTTGATACATCACGGGATGGGTTTGACTAAACAAAAGCCCACGCGAACACAAAATAAATGATACAACGCGTTTGGCCCAAAATGGATGCTGACCTGGCCTTTCCATGCTGGCGCTGAGGTGGCACCCTTGAGAGGAGAGATGCTCTTCTTTATATAATAATAGATAAATCAAATATAAAATATATTTTCTTTTAGTTTATTTATGCGCCCCGGGCGCGTTTCCCCTAGTAACTTATATTTGATCTTCCGTCCCACACAAGCAGAGAACAACTGACTGTATAAAGGTTCTACGAATTCCAATAACATTATCCCAAAAAATGGAATCATTGACTCTTTTAATAATTCAATATTGATAGATAAACAAAAGGTTATGCAGGGTTGAGCCATGATCAAGCCGTTGAACTCTCTAAGCATCATTTTTCAGTTATCACAAAGAAGGAAAATATTTGTTAAGATTGAAAGGCAAAGAGTAAAACTCTTCACTTCTAGTATCCGATTTAAACGACATGAAACGATCCCACCAAACCACCCCTCGGTCTTTCCTCGTTGCACTGTCTTTAGGTGACAATGTTACATCAAGAAAAAATGCTAATATCCCAGCAACAAATGCTTCGGAAGAGAAGGGAACATTGATCATATCATTGAACTGTGAAGAATAACAAAGAACACGAATTAGCATTATCATAAGTTAGAGAAGAGAAGAAGATCATGTTTGTTTTCTTAGATTACCCATCTTGCTCTTGTGTGAACGGGTCCATACTTGTTAATAGCTGTATACTCGTTGAAGTATTGTGGTATGGATAATCCCATGAAAACTGAGAAACCGAGGATGAATTTTGTTCTGAAGCTGTTTAGATTGCAGAACTGAAGTAAGCTTAGACCACCAGCACCTACAATTTTTAGTTGCATGAATATTAGAAATGCTCAAACCATAAGAAAGACGTTTCAAGAAACATACCAACATATGCAAAGAACAGGCAATACAATGCTGCAACGATAGGAGCTGGAATAGAAGCAAATACGGCTCCAAATTTTCCAAGAATGGAGAAAAAGATCATAAAACCGGCTGCTATTTGAACTACCCTTCTACTACCAACTCGTGTCTGAGCTAACAAACCGGCATTTTCACTGAAGGTTATCAGAAAAACCATTAGATTTTGCGGCATGTGCAGTACTTCATTTTGTTCATAGAGGAGAGGAACTGGTCTTACACTGATACAGATGCTCCATTACCTGCTCCAAATAAACCACAGAGAAGAACTCCAACACCCTATATACATAAATTTATTTGCTTAAATACATAAGCTCAGAGCAATGGTGATAAGGCACATTATAGGTCAATGTTTTACAAATTTTACCTGCCAACCAATCCCACGGCTGAGAACAGATGGTGGGGGAGGAGTTGCACTTGCAAACCTTGATACAGCAATGTAAGTGCCTGTGGACTGTTTCCATGAACCACAAGAGGGAACTTGTGTCAAGTGTTTAATGCTGTTTGCAGCTTAAAGGAAATTTGTTTAGATGAACGCTAACCTCAACAAGTGAAACAAATGAAATAGCCATCATAGCAAAAGCTTCACCAGCATTAAATGTTGGAGCTCCCCATTGGAAAGGGTAAGGAACTCTTATCCTGATATCATCAAGAGAAGGTTACTATTATAAGAATGCCACTGGATTATGGTCTAAAAGAGATCATTTCATTACCATGGAGCGCCACTTATGATGCCTGCACGATCTGTTCTGCAACTTGTCTGAGTGTTGTTTCCTGCGTGCTTATAGGCGCCACCAACGGTGAGCAAATGCGCGTAAATCCAGACAATTATCACAGAGAAAATCACAGCAAATCGATGAAAAATATGTATTTCTCCTCGCATGAGATGAGGAATGTACTGCAGAAAGAAGCAGAAATGATGAGTCTTGTTAACATCTATAAAGAAATAACAAGAAGAGCATTGCACAGAAAGTTAACCTGTGAGAATATGAGTAGGAGGATAATCTCAGGCAATCCAATCTCAATGCATTTGGCTAGCTGAAAAAAAAAAATAACAAAGAACAAACTCAGTACTCAAGAAAATGTCATAAAACCATATATGATATCGCTTAAAGCAATAACACACCAGAGGAAAGCCCAGCTCATAAAGTCCAAAACCGGCGAGTGCAACAAGAGGAACTACAGAGAGAGGACTCAAGAGCCTACATAAAGAAACAATAAACATCAAGAAGTACATCACCAGAGAATCTGTTGGTGTGAAGAATCATCTTATCTAACCTAACTACATTTCGCCAGAGGCCACTGAAGCCAACAATGATCTGAAGAAGCGACGCAACGATTAGAGCACCTTGGATTCCACGCATGATCCTCTCAAATTTCTGCAATGTTTTTACTCAAATCAGTGACCACATCTAACACAGAAAAAAAACTGATTAAAATTCTCAGACTAACCTCTTGAGGATCCAAAATGTCGTTGTACCGGGCAGCCAAGATAATAGAAAGAGTGGTTGGTACATAAGAGTAAGAGGCTCCGATGACAGCAGGAAGACGAGTTCCGAAGAAGCTTTGTAATAAAGTGTTGAGTCCAGAAACAAATAGTAATGTCTGAATCATCTTCGCCTTCTCCTCCTACAATAAACAAACAGAGCATTTCAATAATTTTCATGGGAATCGATTTGCTTGAGCAGAAAAAGTTACCTTTCCTCCACCCATTTGTGGAACTAAAGAGGTTGGGATGAGAACCGTTGTTCCAAGCATCACCAAGTAATGCTGAAAACCCAAAAGTATTGCCTCAGCTGGTCCAAAAATAAAATAAAAAAACAAATAGTGATTCTTGATCAGTTATATTACATATGACACTTGCAGAAATGAAATGATGATGATTAAAGATGTGAAATTAGGAGAGAAGAGGGTTACGCCAAGGAGGAGGACTGGTGGCGCAATAAGAGACAGAAGGAAGTTGATCTTTCACCGGATGGGGCTGAAGCTCATCTTGTTTTGGCGGTTGTGCCGCTCCTACTCCTTCACCATCACCGGCCATTTTCTTTCACTTTCTGATGACGAACACAAAAGCAACTCAGGAGAGAAAGAAATGTTGGAGCTGTTTACTGGAATTTTCAAGAACTTGACACCGAAAGTGCTGAAAATGATGGTTAAATGTTGGGAAAGTGAAAAGAGAGAGAAACTGAAAGAAGAATAAGAAGATGAAGTGAGAACAGAGAAAGACATTTGTCGGAGAATTATACATATATTAATAAGAAACCGTCAATGTAAAGGTAAGAAACGTCAAAAGAGTGGATTTTGCGCGTCTTCTTTAGGACTTTTGAGAAGAAAGAACCACTTGGAGAACACGTAACCCATGCAAAGCTTAAATTTGAAGAGTAAGGGGAAAAGAGACATTTAAAGCACTTTCAAATTTGAAAGAATTTACTAGATTCTGATGCGTTTAAAAGAGCAAAAACACTTTTTAGCAAAATCTAATTTACAAAATTAATATACTTCAATATTTTGTGATAATTAAAGTTTAAACATCTTAATTTTAGTGTATTTGAGAATTATATAAATATATTATTTATATTTATATAAATTATGAAATTATATATTTTTAATTTTATTTAAACTGATTTCAACATGTTTGTTATAATAATTTTAATAAAATCTCTGTAATTGATTTCATTAATTGTGTGATATATATTTATTTGATAAATTGTAAATTATAAACCTTATTAAATTGACTCTAACATTCTATCTGTAAACAAATTATTTGATGTCAAGTTAAACTAAGCATAATCTCACATTAATAATTATATGTTTTTACGCATTAAAAATCTAAAAACAAAATCTAAAAAGAAAGTTTTATTAAGTTTAAATTGATGAAATTTTTTATTTATGAAAATATAAATAAAATAATCTATTAATTTAATTAATTTTTATATTAAATGATATTTTTTACATGATCTAAATCCGTGATAAGAAGTCATATTTATTTTTTGAATTTGTTTCATCATTGAATTGAGTGTTTTAGCCAAATTATTGAAAAGAAAATTAAAAATATATTAAAATTGTAGGATCTAATGTTTATTATGTTTAAAAATTAATAATTATTGTGTTGTTTGAAAACACATTTAGTAGTAGTTATATGAAATAGCGTATTAACTAATTTGAGTGAATTTAATTTTATAGTAGAGTAATATATTTTATTTAAACAAATAGCTGTATGGAAAAATATATTAAATTAAACCAAAAGTCATAACCTTCTTTCATGTGTGATTTGTTTTTTAAAATAGACCCACACTAGAAATCACTTATCATTTATTAATTATTAATAATATGATTTATTATCTTCTATATTAAAACAAAAGTCATGACTTTGATTCATGTGTATTCTTTTAAAAAATGGACTATCACTAGAAACTTTTACTATATGTGTTACATTAAGATTAATAATATATAGAATCTTTAAAATACTTTAATCATTTAATTCTAAATATAATTATTTAAATTCTAACAAATATGTTTTAACAGATTTTTATAAGATTTTCATTTTTAATATTATCTTTGAATATTTTCAATAATTTTGAAATTAGTTTAAAATGTTATCACATTAATATATTCAGTTAAGTTTGTAAAATAAAAAATAAAAATTATATCATACTATCTATTATATAATCATAGTCAATCATATTTAAAAAAATTATTATATTAAGCTAAAAATAATAAAATTATATTCAATTGCTAAATTATATATTTTAATTTCGTAAATATAAAATATTTATGTTAGAAAAAAATATAATATGTTGGTAAGACAGGTTAACCTTAGCAAACTATATATTACATGTATATAAATTAGCATGTAATTCATTAAAGCTAATAATATATAATTTTTATAACTATTTTAGTCATGTTATCTTCTCTTTTTAAATATAAATATATATATTTATATATTAAATTTTAAAAGTTCTAATAAATATGTGTAAAAATATTTTACAATAAGTTAATGTATTTTATGTTATGGTTATAAAATGAAAAATTTAAATTATATCCTATTTGATTTACTTCATAGTCATAATTGATAAAAGACAATTATTATATTGTACTAAATATGATAATAGTAT